TTATTAGATATTATTTGTAAATTATTCAAAAACAAGATACTTGTAGAGGTAAGTGAAGAGTTTTGACCAATGGGACCTTCGAACCTCTTTAGACCACCTCAAAGAAAGAGAAACCGATTTTCAAACCTTTTACAAGAAAATCGTGCAAGTTGGGAACGCATTCTTTGATCGATTTTTAGAAAACTACTAGAATAAAGTAACACGTTTAAATTATTATCATCAAAATTGCTATCCATATAAATTAGTTCGAACCTAGAGAAACTTTTATGAAAATCAAGTCATAATATGAAATGTTAAAATTATTTTATGAGTATTATTATTTAACTAATTAATTTATTTACTAATTCTACCTCTAATTTAAATTTAGAGTGTACAGCACAAGTCCGGTTTGAGAGCTGTGTTCACAGCCTGTTCAAAGAACAATCAAACAGCACAGCTTAATTCCCATCTCCTTTGACTTCAAATTATTCCCAAAAAATTGTAGAGAGAGAATTTCGTAATTGTAGAAAGAGAAAACAGGTGAAGATGAGTGTGATTGATATATTGACGCGCGTGGACTCGATCTGCAAAAAGTACGACAGATACGACGTCGTCCCCAAGGACTCCAACGTCTCCGGCGACGACGCCTTCGCCCGCCTCTACGCCTCCGTCGAGTCCGACATCGAATCTGCTCTCCAGGTTTTTAGGTTTTTCGTTTTTTTCTTTTTTTGCGCCATTTTTTTATGTGTGCTTTTTGAATTTTTTCTTCTTCTTCTTCTTCTTCTGGCAGAAAGCGGAGACAGCTTCGAATGAGAAGAACAGGGCGTCCGTTGTAGCGATCAATGCCGAGATTCGGAGGATCAAGGCCAGATTGCTTGAAGAAGTCCCCAAATTGCAGAGATTAGCTGTTAAGAAGGTCTAAACTATTCATTTTCTTTTAATTTCTGGAATGTTGTTTGACCTAGATTTTGGTATATCTCATTTGGAACCCCTACAGTGGTTTTAGAGGGGATTCGTCGACTATCTAAACTCGAATCATTTTTGGGAAAACCTTATTTATTTATTTTTGGCGAAGAATTCACGGAATGTAGCTTCGACCAATTGGTTTTATTTATTTTACTAGTATGAAGTTTGCTAAGGATGGATAGTAACTTATGGTCGAGAGTTAACGGCCTAGTTGTTTAGCTCTGCATATGTTGATGATCATAATAGGCAGTGTTTAGCTAAATGGTTTCTACTTTCGTGACTTCAAGAACTAGTAATGTGGTTGTTCTTCTGTTTATTTTTCTCTCCCAATCATAAGAAACTTTTAAAAAAAAATTGCTTTGACGGAAGAAATTTGTGAATACTCAACTCTTCTTTGAGGGAGAATTGTCATATGGAAGAAGTTAGTTGGACCATACTTGATATATGGGATACGATAAGTAGTGTCGATTACTCTTGGTGAACTGCAATACAGTTGAGCCTTAAGTTATGTGTGCCAAACAACTTAGGAACATAAGAGAGATACTAGAAATTTCGATCTGGTGGAC